TAGGGGGCAAGGAGCGCAGGGCTTGGACACTATCACCAAGTGGTGGGGGCGGGGTTTGGGCGCTGCTGGGGGTATATGCAGCAGCACCCTGTGTGTTAAGGGTCACACAGGTGTGGGTTGCATGGGGGTCACACAGTGTCGGGTAGTATTCGTTCCTCTGGGGTCTCTCAGTCTTCGCTCCTCTGGAGTTCCGTGGTAGGTGGCTGGCTGTTGTTCTTCCCGGGTCTATTCCAGGTCCCTCTCGCGATGGAACCCCGTCTGGCGGCGGCGTTCTCCCGTCTCGGAAATAACTTTTATCTGCATTTTTCTATAAAGTTCTTGTCTGCCAGATACTCTTCCAAATCTGAGCATTCAGCTTAAGACAGACTAGGAAGAAGGATTGGCCATCCACTTTTGAAATATCAGGCCTTCGAAAACCCTATGTACAATAGAACACACTTAAACTAGCAGATACAACAACAGAGGTGGAGCTTTCAAATATGGAACAAGACTAGAATACAGGTGCTAAATTCAGGCTATGACATTGCCAAGTCTCCTCCTTGCCTGACATCTGTGGAGCTGTGGTTGCGGTAGGGAATATTGAGGCCACCACTGCCCCAGAGGAGAGGAGAGAAGAGGCCTCTAGCACCAACAATAGTTCTGGATGATTCTAGTGTTGGATGTGCCCCAGAACTCAGCTAATTTGGAGTGGCAAGGAAGTTGGTGCTAGGCTGAGGACTCTTAAGAGAATATGATAAGGAGGTATTTGGCTTGAGAGGAGCCCTGCCCTGTGGGGTTCAGTGTGTTGAATTTGGCTCTAGCTATTGGCACTGGCCTGGAAATGACTGTCATGGGCAGCCCCTCTTGTGGGTAGTTTTCTTTGCATAGGTCCAGACCCACTGATTGCCATTTTGTCTACAGCTGCTTACTTGCTACAGTGATACAGTTGAATGGTGACATCCACATCTCCCATCCACTATCAAAGATCCCCCATCTTACCCTATCTGAGCAGAGAAAACTGAGGCCCAGGGAAGGGCGTTCTGAGAGGAAAGCTCAGCCCCTGAAACTCAACCATGGTTCTCCTGTGCCCCTCTCAAACACTTAGCCATTCCCTGGGGTATCTGGGGAGGAAGTGTTGCCAATTTTTCACCCTCCTCTACCTTCAGCCCCAATGAAGCCCAGGCCTCAAGAACATGGTCTTTGGGTTCAGGAAGGAAAAGAAAGTGTGACGTTCTGGAGGCAAAAGACAATGGAACTCTAGGGGCAAGTTGAATGTGGAGTTCTGGCATCAGAGAGAATGTAGTTCTGAGTGGAAAGGGAGAAGATTGAGTTCTGGGGGCAAGGGAAATGCAGCTCTGAGGACAGGGAGATGGACCTTCTACTGGACAATGTCACCTGATAGGCTCAGTTCTTGACACATTGTATAATCTTTCACAAAGACTAATAAGCTTCAGTTTCACTTGTGGCTAACTTGCCATCCCCTCAAAGGTAGCTTGAGGACTGTATTTTGTTTAGAATCCCTGAGTTGTCTTTCAAGTGACATCCCTGAATTGGGAGAGGGATACCCCAAGTCCCATGGTCATGTGCACTGCCCAAAGTCAATGCAAAAGGCTCAGCCTGGGTAGACCAGACTGAAGGGTCCCTGCAGAATCCCCAAAGTCTGGGCCTCTGCTTTGAGGCAAGCTATTACAGGCAAGGGAGAGCAATAGGAGGACCTGGCAAGACAGGGCGAGGGCTCTCTGGAGGGCTAGGATTAAGACTTAACCTCTTCTATTGCTCTGCAGTGGGTGGGCTGGAATTTCACCCAGCTGAATACTAATTGATTATTTGGTTTGTGTGTGTGTATGGGGTACACATGTGAGCCTTTATGATGACTGCAACACAACTTGCCCAGGAAGACGTTTTAAATAAACTTTATTGTTTAAAAAGCTGATTCTTAATCCATTCACAGGAAATTATTTAAGCACATGCTGTTTGCAGGATACTGAACTAAGCACAAATAGAAAAAGGGGGAAAAAGTTATTTTCATTAATAAGAACATTAGTTATCCTGGTGTGCTATTGCTACTTGGTGTGGAAGCTCTGAGTCCGGCACAGGGCAGGAAGCCTCCCAGTCCTCTATGCTGGAGAGTTTCCTGGGTATTAAAACACTTGGTTCTCCAAAGATAGAGGAGTAGGTGGGGAAACATGTTGCAAAGCTATAATGTTACCCACTGTGGCAAACTTTGGTTTGAAGCAGACTCTTAGAATTTGAAGGAATCCTGTGGCTATTGAAGGGCAAGCTGCACAGAAGGCCTGCCTTGGAGTCTGGCCAGCCTCAAGACAAGAGACTTTGCAGCATGAAGCTGGCACTGCTGGGTCATTCAGATGGCCACGCTGTTGGGGATCCTGTCTGGAGACAAGTAGTAATATGGTAGCTTCTTGTTTTTGTTGCGCTCTGCAATCATGCTGACGATGGTGTCGAGGTTCTTGCGGAATCGAGCCATGGCCTCCTTCACTGGCTTCTCAATGAAATGCTCCTCTGGATACATGCCCAGGAACAGCTGAGGCCCAGGAGGGACAGATAGATTAATCATGAGCCAGTCACTATAGCCACCTCCACTGTAGCCATGCACACACAGCCACCTCCAGTGACAGAGGCTCAGAATGTGAGGTAGAAAACCTCTCTTCACTTTCCTCTCTATACCATCTTCTGTCCACTCAGAGAGCCTGAGAAAAGCAGACAGCCCAGCTTTCCACAGGATGCCTTGAGTGGGCTTCTTCTGTATGTGGGAATATGGGGGAACTTGAGTGGGCACCTCTGGATGGGGGGAAGCTATGTGAATGAGCATTGTGGCTGGTGAGGGAGGCAGTGTCCCTGCTGTGTTACTGTGGTAGAGCCTTCTCTGTTGTCAGGCAAACCTGTGCTTTGCTTGAGAGTCAGCTTGAACTTGTGGGGATGTGCAATGTGTCTACTCACCTTGCTCCCACTAAGGAAGGACTTGTGTAGGCTCTGTCCAAGGCCTCACCTCATTCTCCTGGAATTGGCTCAGGGCCCACACTGCCCCCAGGTGCCAGCATGAGCGGCCGCGGTCTGGCAGCGTCTCCACGATCTGCTCAATGGTGACCACACCCTTGGCCTTTGGTGGTGGAGCCCTCATGGTGGGAGGCGCATTGGGGATCCAGGAACACCAATCATACTACAAGGACACATACATGACCATCATACAAGTGGGACAGACACCAACATGCATATGACCAGTCATACTACAGGGACAGACATCAACACACATACTACAGTCATACTACACAGATGACATCCAACATGCGTGTGACCAGTCATACTACAGAGATGACCACCAATGTGTGTGACCAGTCATACTACAGGAATGGTCATCAACATGTGTGTGACCAGTCATACTACAGGAATAGTCATCAATACACATGTGACCAGTCAAACAACAGAGAAAGCCATTCATACCACAGGGACAGTCGTCAACACATATCTGACCAGTCATACTACTAGGATAGTAATCAACACACGTCCAGTCATACTATAGGGACAGACCTCAGTACATTTGTGACCAGTCATACTATGGGGCAGCTGTCAACATGTTTGTGATCAGTCATACCACAGGGATGCCCACCAACATGTGTGGCCAGTCGTAGCACAGGGAAAGCCACCAACACATGTGAGCACGTCCCAGGCCCACGTTCCTGCTCTCTGTGGCTCTACCATCTGGGTGTGACTGTCCCCTCTTCCCTTCCTCCCAGAGGTGGCCCTGGTTCAGATCCCAGCACTTGAATCTTGAGAATGCTGGAGGGTTTTTCTACTGCTTTTTCTACACTCAGTCCAGCCAGGACGACTGTGAGGCACAGTGGGAAAGGATGGGCTACCCTCCCCCTCCTGAGGAGCAACACAGGTAACCTTGGCCAGTTCCAACCCAGAGGCATGTGCCCCTCATAGGCCTCCCTTACCTGGCCGAAGTTCACTGCTGCATGCTGTGCTGAGGCGGTGAAGATCACCACAGTCAGGTACTCTGACAGTTTCTCTCTGGTCTTGATGGACTTAGGAAAGCCTGAGGTGGAAACCAAGGCAGTCTGAGAACTGCCTCTCAGATGGGAGAGGCCAGAGCAGGATACCTTCTCTGTGCCTGGGGTCTGTCACAGTGCTAGAGGGTTGAGGAGTGGACCAGAAACCCTGGGAGAGGACAGATGCCTGGGCCAGTATTCTGTCTCTGATTTCTCATATTGATGGGCAGAGGATGCCTGAAGGCTCAGGCCCCAGCACCAAGCAGGGAGCAGAATTCCAAGGGCCACTGTTGCCCAAGGAGAGATCAGAGGGTACCCAGGGGAGCACCTCACCTGAAGCCTTCCTGCCCCGCATGCCGTACACATAAATGTCCTTCACAAAGTCCTGCAGCTCCTGGTCCTCCACCACTACCTGGTCATCCTCATAGTAAATAGCCACCACCTCTCCTGTGAATCTGGGTCAAGAGAGAGGCCCCATCCTCAAGTGGATGAAACCACCAGGTCTCCAGACCTGTACCATAAAGGAGCCTCAACAAGACCCTAACTGAGACCCCATCATTCCCTTCTTAAAAACCAAGCTCAGGATCAACCCCTCATCAAAGCCCCATATCTCCTTCCGTGCCTTGACAACAGAGGTAACCCACTGCCAGGGTCACTCAGGCCTGCACACCCCCATGCCCATTGCAGTCCTTCCCCCAGGACCATCCCTATGCCTCCACAGAAGTGCTACATACTCACTTCTTAATTGCTTCCCACACCAGCAGCCCGTCATCCCGATAGAAGTAGTAAGGAATGTTCTCTGTACTGTCCATGCCCCGGGCCTTGATAGCCTCAGGGAAGCACAAGGAGGTGTAGGTCAGCTCCTGCATGGCCCGCTGTACCATCTGCACATGCCCACCACCCCCTGTAGCATTGGCCTGCATGGAGGGAGAGTGTGCCATGAGCTGAGGCCGTCTCCATCCCAACCCACAGCTCACCCTTGCATTCACAAGAAACTGGAGAATTTATACAGTGCAGTGGGGTGGCCAGGAATGAAGGGCAGGTGCTGCAAGGTGAGATAGGAAGAATGTTTAGCAAAGTAAAACTTCAGGGTAGCTGATACACCAAGACAGCCGGAGGAGGATGCTACAGGGAGGCATCTCTAGACCAGAAAGGTGGAAGGTATTGAAGTGACCAAATACCCTTGGAGACTGAGGGATAGCTACAGCAGGAAAGTTGTCTCTCTAAGAGTGCAGGCTATGAGACCCCTGCACTGGCTGAGGGACTGAATAAGGCCCTCAGGCTGGCTGGTTCCAAGTCCCAAAGGGGTTTTACTTCTGTGCCCTTGTATCAAGGCTAAAGGAGCAGACAGATAGCAGATCTGGTGGACCATAAAGGTCCTTGAGGACCTGTGGAGTGTAGTTAGGGGAAGATTAGGGATAATCACAGAGGAGTCTGAATCTTCTGTACACACACATACACACCTGCACACATGGAATTCTCATAGCAGGGCAGTGAGATTAGTTGTTGCTGGTCATGCGACTCAAGCAGGTCTCGTCAAAATTGTTTCCCTGTATTTTCTATTTGGATACCCCTGGGAGAGGAACAGTTCTAAGGGAACCTCACTAAGGGATCTGTGACCAGGTTCCCATATCCCCAGCCCCACTAGACACCTGCTGGGGAGAATGAGACAGACTTTAAAGAAAGAGCACATGCATTTTGGGGATAGTATTTGAGACTTTGGGTCCATTTTGGCAGGAGACTGTTCATGCTTATGATTTTTAAGTACATAAGAATACATTTTCCAGCTGGTCTCATTTGGGTTTATCACAAGCATCAAAAATAAGGCTTAACTCTAGTCACTATCTGACCTGATCTCTTAATTAAGGTGTTAGATTTGGTCAAGTGGCAGGGGAGTCAAAATCTGAGAAGTGGGTGCTGAGAAATTTGAGGGCTGGGTAGGGACCAGATTCCCTGTTGAGTGAGGGGAGTGGTGGATCTCAGAGGGCCTGTAAAAGGCAAAAGAGGGTGAAGGCTCAGAATGAGGGTGAGGGCCAGGAGAGAATTGCATCAGTGGTACCATGTGGAGGGGCTGCACTTAACCCCACAGGTCATGAGGAGAGGGAACAGCAGAAACATTGGCAGTGAGGAACATGCTGGGCAACTGGAAGAGGGAGAGGAGACTTCACCCAGTGCCTTGCTCAAGGACTTGGGAGAAAAGACTCAGATTTTAGGGCTCCTGCCGTTAAGTACAGCCTTCCATCATTGTGGAGGTTAAGAATCTGGTCTCCTAGTCATGAGTCTGCTTGGTGGTAGAAACCACCAAGATCTTGAGGAGGAGAAGAGAAGGTGCCAGCAGGGCAGGGCTTTCAAGGGATTGTGGCAAGGGGCACCTACCTTGTCAAAGAGGCCATACTCACAGATGAGCTGCTCACGGGCCTTAGTGTTGATGGCAATGGTGAACCGAACATGGGCCACCAGAAGCTGGTGAGGAGAAACCCCTTAGAGAGAGCACTGTCAAGGCCTCCTGACCAGAGCCACCCACCCCACCTGGACCATTGTGGAGAGATGGGGTCAGGGGAAAAAAGTCAATATATGCAATGCTGATTGTGATGATGGAGTTACTGCTCAAGGACTGGAGGTCTCTGCTGATACATAACTAGAGTAAAATGATAATAACCGACACTTGCATAGTGCTCCATTCACTTTGTGCCAGGTGCTGGGTTTTGTTTCATTTTGTTTTTTTAAAAACTTTTTTCCAGGTGCTGTTTTAAATGTTAGGTTTTTAAATTTTTTTAAATTCTCACAATAATTCTATGTACTGTCTTACAGATAAGGAAACTGAGGCATATAGAAATTATCTTTAGCCCAGAGCCTGTAGTCATCAAAGTAGCTAATGTCAATAGAATCTGGAAAGTGAACAGAGCAAAGTCAGTGAGCTACCTACCCCTCAGGACCAGTCAGTGTGCTTTTTCAAATACCATTCAGCTTCTTCAAGTTGAATGAGGGAAAGACAACTTTTGGTGTTCCTCTCAGCTCCCTCCTCCCAACTCTCCTGTATTGGCATGCCCTACTTATTAGGAGAGACAGTACTTGCTGTACCTTGAAGATGGGATGCACGGCAGGAAGCTGGCGGTACATGGCAATGCCAAAAACCTCAGACACTAGGTGTGTGCGCAGAAGGTGGGTGATGGTCTGGTGGACATGGAAGTCACTGGAGCGCACCCAGATTTTGGCCAGAAGCCAGTCATATTTTGCATCCGAAGGGAGAAAAATGGGGTTGTCATCTCCTGGGACTTGGCTGAGCTGATGAGAAAGAAACTATTTTAGTCACCATTGCTATTGGTTTGGTAAATGTCAATAGTTGTAGAGGGGCTTCAGGCCTTTTGTTCATAGGGTCGCTGTGAGTCATGCTCAACTCAAAGACAATCAACAACAATTGTGATTCAAGGGAGCTCTTGTGGTCTAGTGTAAGGAGTTGTGCTGCCAACCCAAAGGCATGCAGTTCTAATCTATCAGATGCTACATTGGAAAAGATGAGCTCCTGTGTGATTAAAGCCTCTGAACACCATCTAGAGGGTCAGCTATGAGTCCAGTCTGACTTGATGGCACACAACAACAACAATATAGTTGTTAGAGAACCTGGCAAGAAGAACCTGAGATTCATCAGTGACTTACCCATTATGAGAAGATTATAGGGGGATGGGCCTCAGACTCTAACTCCATCGCTCACTATTTGTGACCCTGAACAACTTATTGAACCTTGGTAAATAAGCGAATAATAATTGCTTATTATTTGAGAGACAGAACAAAACAGCATGAAGGCATTAGCAAGGTGTTTGAGATTTGTTCATGTGGTGGGCTTTCTTACAGAAGTTACAATCCATCTTCTCTCTTATCTTCCTTCTCATGCTCCCTATCATTTTAATCCATTATTTAGATAGCTTATTCTTGCAATCTATTATAGATTTAATTGTTTCCAAAAAAAGAATTATCCCAGTTGGTACCTGTGAACTTGATCATGTTGGAATATAAAGTTCTTTAAATATATCATTTAATGTAGAGAATACCAGAGTATGAAAGAGAAGGGACACAGACATATAGAGATCAGCTGTCTAAATGAAGGCACACACCTTGGACACCAATGATCCCTGTCTGTTACCAGAAACTAGGAGAGAGGCATGAAGTGCATTTTCCCTGAGTCTCAGAAAGAATCAAAGTGGCCAACACCTTGATTTGGACACTTAGCTTCCAGAATTATGAGGTCATAAATATCTTTTTTAAAAGCCAGCCCCTTTGTGGATTTTGCAATAACAGCCCTTGGAAATGAAGACAGAATTTGTTACCAGAAGTGGATGCTGTTGTTGTTGTTATGTGCCGTCGAGTCGTTTGCGACTCATAGCGACCCTATGTACAACAGCCCTAAACCCTGCTCTATCCTGTGCCAAACGCACTGCCTTCAACACACCCATCCCAATTACCCCAGTCACTGAATCAATCCATCTTATAGAGGGTCTTCCCCTCCTGCGCTGTCCCTCCACCCTCCCAAGCATGATGTCCCCCTCTAAGGACCTGTCCCTCCTGGCAACATGTCCAAAGTATGTCAGACGAAGCCCCAGAATCCTTGCCTCCAAGGAGTAACTTGCTTTAATCCTCTCCAAGATGAATCTGTTTGTTTTCCTGGCAGTCCATGGTACATTCAGTACCCTTCTCCAGCACCACAGCTCAAAAGCATCAACTCTCCTTCTGTCCTCCCTAGTCATTGTCCAACTCTCTGATGCATAACAAGCGATTGCAAAGATCATGGCCTGTATCAGGTGCACCTTAGTCTCCAGAGAGACACCGTTGCTCCTGAGTACTTTAGAGAGGTCCCTACCAGGAGACTTTCCCATCGTGATACGCTTCTTGATTTCCTGACTGCTGGTGCCAAGAGTGTTGACTGTGGAGCCGAGCAAACTGAAGCTGTGAACAATCTCAATCTCTTCGCCATCCATCCTGATGCTGCCAATGGGTCCAGTGGTGAGAATCTTTGTCTTCTTGACATTGAGCCTCAATCCATACTGAAGGCTGAAGTCCTTGAACCTCTGCAGCAAGCGCTTCAGGTCCTCCTCAGTTTCAGCAAGCAGGGTTGCGTCATCTGCATAACGCAGATTGTTGTTTTTTTTTAAATTTCTTTATTGTGAGTGTACCGTCAAATCAGATCTGACTGGTACAGGAGGGAAATTTCCCCTCCTTCTCCAGCAGAGCATCTGGTGGATTTGAACCACGCACCTCTGGGATTGCAGTACAGCTTCTTGCCACTAGGCCATCAGAGCTCCCCAAAAGTCATGTGGTGCAGATTGTTAATAGATCTTCCACCAATCCTGATGCCACATTTCTCCTCATAGAGCCCAGCCTCTCGGATAATCTGTTCTGCATACAGGTTGGAAAGGTATGGAGATAGGACACATCCCTGGTGTACGCCTTTCCCAATTTTGAACCATGCAGTGGATGGTGAAGAGATTGAGATTGTTAACAACTTTAGTCTGCTTGGCTCCACGGTCGACACTCTTATCTTCTCTTCTATTAATAGCCTATTTTTCTCCTTGTACCACTTCCTTATTTGCATATCATATCCATTCTTTGTCTTATATGTTGCATTTATTTCATTCAGTCTACCGCTTTACCTTTGTTTATGGTGTACGTAATAATTTAATTATTACAGGAAGTAATTACATCTTTTACCTTTCTAACTTAGTGATTTCTTGTTTTTGCTTTAAACTGTCCTCTTACATTATATATTGTTCTTTGTTTTCCTAAATCCTCTCTTGAAATTTTTATATTTAAATTTATTACTGAAATATTATTTTGTTTTTGTCAATTATTTGAAATATTAGTCCAATTTATTTTTTTTCTTTAACAGTCATAGTAAAAACAAAGTTGGATGCTATGAAGTTGATTCTGACTTATTGCAAACCCATGCCTATGTCAGAGTAGAACTATTCTCCATGAGGTTTTTTACGAATGAATATTTGCATGTAGAATTCCAAGATTTTCTTCCAAAGCACCCTGAGCAGACTTGAACAGCCAACCTTTTGGTTGGGAGCTGAGGTGCTGACATTTGTACCACTCAGAGGCTCCTTATGGAGCAGATGTAATAGCTCCATTTATTTGCCATTCTTTCTTACTGAGTTGACTAACCACTTTTGCCATATATTAGATTCCTATAAATTGGTTTGCTATGCATCAGAGAGCTAGACAATGATTAGGGATGACAGAAAGAGAATTGATGCCTTTGAACTGTGGTGCTGGAGAAGAGTGTTGAATATACATACCATGGACTACTAGGAGGACAAACAGGTTTGTCTGAAAGAGGGTGAAATCAGACTACTCCTTGGAGCCAAGGATTCTGAGGCTTTTTCTGACATACTTTGGGCATGTTGCAAGGAGGGACGATTTCTTAGAGAAGGATATCATGCTTGGAAGTGTGGAGGGACAGAGAGAGAAAGACCATTGATGAGATGGATTGATTCAGTGACTGGGGTAATGAGGGTAGGTGTGTCAGAGACAGTAAAGTTGATACAAGATTGACCAGGTTTCTGGGCTATTCTGCATAGGGTTGCTATGAGTCTCAAGTGACCTGAAAACACATAAAAACAACAACATATATGAGTCTATTTATGAATCTTTTATATACTGTCTGCTAGTCTGTGTGCCTATTCTTGTGCACAGCCTTCTGCTCTGAATAGTGCCTTGGGAGTATTCTAAATATACAGCAGAGAAATTTCTCCCTCTGTGTTTTTTATTTTAAAAATTTTCTTCACTATCTTTCATATTAGCATTTGAATTATCTTATTCATTTTTCTCACTTCTTTAATAAGAAAAAATTTATTTAAAATTTGATTGGAAGTGTACTAAGCTAATAAAAGAAAATTTGGTAGAATTTGTTTTTTGTGGTTTTTTTTTTATGTAGAATGAAAGTATAGTCAGAATGCTCCTTTGAAGTGAGGATGGTGAGGCTTTGTCCATGTACTTTAGACATGTCACCAAGAGGGGCCAGTCCCTAGAGGAAGTCATCAGTATGATGGCAGAGTAGAGGGTCAGCAAAAAATACCTTCGATTGGATTAAATATTTAAAGGACGGGGCTGCCCAGCTCTTCCCCTTGGAGGAGCTGGTGGATTCAAATCACTGACCTTTTGGTATGGTACACATCGTGATACCAGAGCTCCTTTTATGTACTTGCTAAAAACGAAGCTCATTACTGTCAACTCAAAATACACTTAGTTGATGCTTTTGCAGATTTTTGGAGGCTGTAATATCATGTGAGGAGATTACCTGTCTTTCTCATTTGGATTTGAACTACCAGAGAGGTGCCACTCCTGGGTTAGCAACACAAGTCTGTATAGACTAGGCCACTAGGGCTCTCTTACATATTCTAGATACCTTGCTAAAAGAACTTATTAATTTTAACATATTTTTAAAAGTTTTATGCTTTATACATGTATCTTCAGATTATTATTTTTAAAAAGATAATCTGTTCTTTAATAAGATTTTTTTTATTTTATTGTCACATATACTAGAACTTCCAAAAGAGCATTGATTAACAATAGTAATATCAATATTCCTTTCTTTAAAGTTTGAAATTGTCAAGGGTTTCATTTTCTTTGGACCCAGAATCAACACTCACTATAGCAGCATTCAAGAAATGCAAAGATGTGTTGCACTAGTTGAATCTACTTTCAAGGACCTTTACAAAGTGTTAATAAGAAAGGACATCAGTTTAAAGGCTAAGGTGCACTCGATACAAACCATGGTATTTTCAATTGTTTCCTATGCATCTGAAAGGTGGACAATGATTAAAGATGACAGGAGAATAATCTATACTTTTGAATTGTGGTGTTGGAGAATAGTACTGAATATTGGCATAGACTGCCAAAAGAACAGACAAGAAAGTGCAACCACGGTGCTCCTTAGAGGTAAGGATGATGAAACTTTGTCTCACATACTCTGAGCATATTATTAGGAGGGGAATTTCCTTGGGAAAATACATGCTATATGGAATCGTGGAGAGTCTGTGAAAGAGAGGAAAGCATGCAACAAGTTAGATTGCCCCAGTGACTGTAACAATAGGCTTGATTATGTTGAAGAGTGAGAGAATGGTGTAAGATAAGGTAGGGCTTAGACCTATCATTCATAGGGTTGCTGAGTCATAGAATCAATGGCATCTTAATAAAAGCAATAGTCCTTCAGCTATTCCACTACTTGTAATATACCTCAAGAAAATGAGAACTTATGTACAAACAGAGACTTGTACACTGATGTTCAT